TCACTTTTCATCCAGAAGCCAGGGAAGAGTGGCCCTGAAACTAGTTTTAAGAACTCTTTAGATGGCTTAAAGTTATGCCACTCCAGGGTAGGTTTATCTCTGATCCATGTTATTCAGGCTTGTGTTCCATTAATATGCCACTCCCCACAGATGAGCTGCCCAGGTTGCAGTCCTCCAGCAACCCAGGATGCAGCATCCCCTCCTCACTCTCTTGTTCATTGTGGACAAACTTTCTACCTCCTGAACTCTATTGCCCAGGGGCTGGTTATGGCATCAAGCAAAGAGTGAGGTCAAGGAGGGGTGAGGGGCAGAGAATGAGTTTGGGGGCTGGATCAGGTCCCCATGAGCTGGGGCTTCCTTCCTGGGGCAGGGGCAGTAGCTCCCCCAAAAGCACCTTCTCTTACTGCTCCCACCTCCCAGCCACCCCAGGAAGTATGACCAGTACACCTCCACACCCAAATTCCAATTTATTAAACCACAAGACCTTCGTTTCCCCTTAATTTCTTTTTAAATTCTTTTTTAAAATAATTTATTTTTATTTTATCCATCAGTGGCTGACTTATTTCATTGCATCATCTTTCCTCGAGCTCCAATTTCAGTACCTACCTCCATCCTATTAATTCTGCCAGCTTCATATTCCTGCTCCTGCCCCCATATTTCACACCTCCCCACTTAGAGAAGGGGTAGGAGTCTGCCCTGGCTCACCAGCCTGGTAGTGGCAAGCCATAGCTGTGGAGGTGGGAGAGAGTCAGAGAAGATTTTTAGCCTTAATGTGTAGTTGCTCCAAGCTCAAGCTAGTACTAACAGTGATCAACATTTAAGAAGCTCAAAATGCAGCATGTGACTAGGCCCTTCAAGACTAACTTCTTCATACATGCATAAGTTTTCATAGGCAATGGTCTACTTTGTCTAGACTAGCATCTAATGAACAAGGCTGTCACCTATGAAAGCTTATGCCTTTTTGAATGAGTTAGTCTCCAAGATGCCACCCTGCCCTTCTTTCTGCTTGACTTCAGACTAGCACAGCTAACCACCTCTCACTTCTTATCCAGCACAAGCTTCTTTTTCTCCTTAGTTCCTCAGCTTTTTACCCCTCAGCGTAGCTAATGACTCATTTACTATCCTAAAGCTACCCACAAATGTTTGCTGAGGGGGTGCTGTATTGAGTCATTGTTTTGCCTTCCTGTGTTTGTCCAAAGAGCTCTGTTGATTTAATTTTGAAAAGTGAGACTCTCCATTAGCAACAAGAGGTTTGGGGGAGCTGAACAGCCTGTTAAGATAACAGTCATTGTCAGCATCAGCCTTCCAGATTTGGGGATGACCCAGACATGGCACCTACTGTAATTCAATCTCTTCATTTCAGTGGGATGAGAAATCAGTTGAAGGATTCCTAAGGATGTAGTGAGAATGTGTCTGACTCACTAAATCCATTTGCAACAAAAAGCTTCACTCTCATTCCCTGCCCTGCCACCCACAGTCCTAAGGTAGACACACAGTTTGTGATTTCTACTGCTGTTGCTTTTTAAGTCTAGTATGCTTTTCTTGGAGATTGTTACTGTTTCGCTGCTCAAAGAGGACAATACTTTCTTTGACTTCCCCTTGAAACTGCTATCCCACAATGAATAAGATGGAATGTCAGTTGGTTTACCATTTGCTTTTTTGCCTTCCCTCTAGGTGATCATATTCCAGCTCTCCCACTATATATACATGCACTCATTGTTCATATGCATGTCCAGCCCAAAAGAGATGGAACTTCATTGTCAATGCTTTCATGCTGTAGAATAGCTTAGTGTAATACAACAGTACTGGATAGTCAGTCAAATGATCTAGTCCTCAGAAAAGAACATAAGAAATGTTGGTTGAAGTTCTCCAGCTGCCAAGAATGTTGCCTGTACAATGCCCAGATTTCCTGTCTGTAAAGTAAAAGAGTGAGAGGCACTATTATCTTAACTTGTGAATACTATCGATAAGTACAGACATTCAAAAATCCCAAGCCTTAATTGATTCAGTCTTTGCAGGTTAGTCTCACCTGCGTAAATTGAACTGATTTGCAAGTGAATAGACATTCGGGAAATGCAGAAACATTCCTGCAGTGGTTCAGGCTAGAAGCTGGGGGGCACTAGAGTGAGCCCTTGGCTGAAAAGAAACTGAGCCAGGGGCTGTGGGGTGTGGCCAGGCCCCAGCAAGCTGAAACCCCCACTCTGGCCTGAAGTGGCCCCTGCTGGGATGTGCTTGGAGGAGGAAGGGGGAAGCAGGGGCTGCTTCCCCCTTCCTCCTCCAAGCACATCCCAGCTGGGATTTCCCACCCCTGCCTTCACTATGTCTTCACTACTCGAGCAGCAGGGGGCATGGCAGCAGCAGCATGAAGTGAATGGAGATGAAGCGGGGTTTAATCCTCCCCCTCTGTCCCCTTTCCACCATCATGTACCTGAGCTGGGGTCTGCCTGGCCAGGGTGGAGCAGCCCGTGTCAGCATCGTGCCCCCTCTCACTGCTGCAGCGGCAGGGGCATGGCCAGAAGCCAGCTGGCATGGTCCCCTGAAGTGACGATGGCAGGAAGGGGGACTTTTACAGTGAGTGAGATCGGCCCTGGGGGACTGACTGGTGTCTGGGGGGCATAGTGCCAGACTAAGGAAAGTAAGGAAGAGGATAGTAAGATACAGAAAAGGAAATAAAATGATATGTAATACATGGGGATGGTACTGACACAGATAGTGAGAATGGAGTAGCTAGCCTGGGCCTATATCATGTGAACAAGGATGATAAATTAGTCATCTGGCTGACACCCTGGGTTGCTGGGAAATCCCTAAAATGGAGTTAGATAAAGGATCTACAGTGTCTATTATCTCATATTCTAAATAAAGAAAATCCTTTTAAAATATGAAATTAAAAACATGAGAGAAGATTATGCCAAGGGGCTGGTGTCAGTGCTGTAGAATCTAATAATAAACAGCATCTCTTAGACTTACATAATTGAAAAAGGGGGACCTGCTCTGTGGGGTCATGAATGGTTCAGAGAGATTCCCCTGGACTGGAACTGTGTAAAGATCCTACATGCATTTTCAAAGGTCCCCCTGCAGAAACAGTTAAACAACAATTAGAAGGGATATTAAACCAGGCCTCTGAACTGTTCAAGGTAGGATAATGATCATTATCCTACCTTATCAAAGGTAGGATAATGATCAATTAAAATGCCCAGGCCTAGTTTCACAAAGCTCAGCCAGTTCCTTACAGCTGGCATGCTAAAGTAGATGCAGAACTGGATCATCTAGAAAGAGAAGGCATAGTTTTAAATGTTCCCTGGAGTGAGTGGGCCATGCCTATAATGCCAAATGTAAAAAACACAGTGCAGTAACACGAGGACTTGAAAGTTACTGTAAACCTTGTATTGAAAGTTGATAAATATCCCTTACCCCAAAATAAAGATATTTTTGCCACATTAGTAGGGGGGCAGAGATTTAACAAAATTTAGCAAAGGATGGAAGTAGATGATTCAATTGGTAATCTTACCACAAATATGCAAAAAAAGGTTATACTGGTATAATAGATTAGTGTTTGGCATTGCCTCCCCTCAATGGATCAAGTTCTATAAAGCATTTCTGAGAAAAGTGTTATTTGGATGACGTTATTGTAACTGATGAAAACAATGAAGAACATCTGAACAATCTGAAGAGAGTATTGGAATATCAGGAAGAATATGGGTTTCAAGAAAATCACAAGAAATGAAACAAATAGAGAAACTTGTTAAGGGATGCCAACAGGTAGAGAAGATGCCTAAACCAGTAGAATTACATCCATAGGAATGGCTTTCTATTTCCTGGCAATGGATCCATACTGATTTTGCAGGACAATTTTTGGAATGATGTACCTAGTGGTGGTGGCCGTTCACTCCAAATGGCCAAAAGTTTTCTGCAAAAACTGTTACAGCAGCACAGACAGTAGAAAAATTGCAGAGTCTGTTTGTAAGGATCAGAGTGCCAGAACAAGTTGTAATCAATCATGTCCCATGATCCAGTTCAGATGAATTTCAAGAATTCATGGCGAAAAATGTTACCTGGCACAACATTTCTGCACCATAACACCCAGTCACAAATGGGCTGGCTGAATGATTTGTACAGTCTTTCAAAAATACCCTCCATGAAAGAAGAGTCAGAACAGTAGAAGATAGGTTGCTTTTTGCTAGTATACTGGAATTCCATGCATGCTTTAACAAATGAGATGCTGGCAATGCTTTTTATGGGCCAGAATCTCAGGTCACAGTTCGACTTATTAAAATTGGACTTGCAGCAACATGTGAAAAATCACCAAATAAATCAGGTCATGAAAAGGGGAATACGTGCTCCTTGGCAACTATATGTAGGCTGAAAGGCACTGACCTATGATTACTGGGAATTTAAGAAATAGCACTCTGTGGTTGTGAGTGCACACAAAAGTCCTTTATCATACGTAGTGCAAGTGGCACCAAAAATTGTTTAGCACATTGATTAATTATGAAACACAGGCTTGACTGCTGAACACGGCACAGCTGCAACAGTTGAAGCCCCCTGTTGTTGGGCCCTCAGCTTTGTAACTTACAGCGATGACCAGTAATACTACACAAGCTAGTAGCAATGCTGACTGGCCAGGACCCGACAAGGTTGAGCTACTTACATCTGGTAAGGTAACATCTGAATCCAACATGGATGAAGAAGGACCACCTCCTCAGGACTGTCTTCAAAGGAGTGGTAGTCACTGTGTAGGGAGGAGAGGTAAACGTGAACCTGACATAGTACTTGGTGCAGCAGATTCTCAGGAAATTTGTAAAGGTAAGCAACATTAACCAGAAAGGAAATGCAAGCCACTTGAAAGGACTGTAGTCTGTGCATTATGCCACTATCATTTCAAAATGGGGGGAGAAAAATTGAGATACGTGAATATGTTGAATCTGCACACATAAATCTAAAGTTACTTTCTGTTCAATCCACTAATGCCAATGTATATATAATTTTACTTTGCATTTATAATATATCCTGTACCACCCGGTATGGCAAAACTCTTTCCCCACCCGGTATGGCAAATCTCTTTCCCCCTCGTGACTGGAATCATATATTTATGAACGCGTTGCACAAACTTAACATTTACCTTCTTTAATTTCTATGAAGGTTGCGTAAGAGGAACTAACAAATATAATTTGTTTACTTATATTTCATTATTCTACACAGGGTGAAGTATCTATTTTAGCTTTTACAACGGTGAAATAGAATTGTACTATCTGAAACGGTTAACAAATTCCTGGTGCATGGACATTATGCAAATTGTACACTTCTTAGAAGAAATAAGAGGACAATGGATTAATGGGAAATTTTAAATACTGGCCTAATGAAGAAAAAACTATCTAGCTTCTCTCTAACAATTTGCAGCCTGTCCTATACTCCTAAGTGTATTTGCATCACTTGCACGAAGAATGAGGGCCAAATTAAATAGATTTCCCCTACTTTGTTTTATTGTTCACTGCTTCATTTTATCTTTACTTGTATATCATCCTACGCTACGTTCTGTTTTAATTTTGTGTAAATGGGTAGAATAGATAATCTTATTGTATACTTTTACCAAAAATTACAAATTAGATAAATTTTGTTATTTTAGTATATATCATTTTATTGTTCATTTTCTTTGATTATTTTAGCTAAACTATAAGCAAACTACTGCTACTATACTGCAAAAAGTGATTCCATGCAAAAATGCATTATTAAAACAACTAATTGTTATTAAAATTGGACATAGGGAATTAGATTAGTAGATGTTATGTTCAGAAGGTTCTGTTCATCTTGTCTGACCTCCTGCATAATATAAACAATACAACCTAAGTCATTTCTCTCTTAAGCCCATCAAACCTGCCTAAAACTATGGAGGTCATAAAGGCCAATCATTTTCCTCTTCTGGTTTTAAATTTTCAATCAACCTATTCTTTTGTCTTGGATGAACCAATTCTCTCATTGCATTTCACTTAATCCTACTTTTCTTTTTATTGCCACCTATCTGTACTGTGCTTTCACTTTAAGTTCTTACCTTAGCTTCAATACTACAGCTCAAATTTTTTACCCTTTTTACTTCTGATCTTTCACAACTCTTGTAAAAGGAGCCCTCTACCCCTGTTAGTGGAGATGCGAGGAGGGCAGGATTAGAGCTAACAAAGCAAATGAAGCTTAGAGAAAGCCTGGCTGCAAGGGGCACCAATTGTGATTACTTTGGTTAAACTGAGCTGCAGGATCCAGCCTGAAGATTGCAGGCAGCAGAAAGCAGGGCAGCTGAACAGGGAGTCAGCAGCACCTGAGCCCTATTGGCAGAGAGCTGGGTCATATGACCAGAAGGGGGTAGAGCTTATGTGCATATAAACCCAGCCTCTGGCATACAACAGAAAGAAGGTGAGGGAGATTGCAGGCTGTGAGTCTGACCATCAAGGGCTTGTCAGACACCAGGGTGGACTATCCAGCCTACTACAATTCCCCTTTTATTAGGTCATTTAGCTTATAATTTACCACATTTTGGTTTGTCTATTCCTATCTCTAACTATAATAAGCCAAAATCTGATATTAACCCAACATGGATGAATTTGTCACATTTTGTCTTAACTGAAAATTGTCTTAAGGTTCTTTTTTTTTCCCTTTCCTAGTTGTCACTGACTTAGAGGTAGAAGATGTCTGTTTTCTGTGTTATTTATCTGTGGTTATTGTGGATGAATATTTGTAACTCAAATGCAGTATTCTCATTATTTTTACATGTCAAGAAAACTTTAAAATCTAGTCAATATTTTTGTCTTTTATTTTCCTCCTTGGGTGATGGCTGTTCAAAGTGACTAACCCAATTATTGATTCTAAGTAACAGAGCTTGCCATTTGACTGTGAGCCTTAGAAGTCTTTCATAGAAAACTTAGGCATCATAAAACTAAGAATCCTTTTAAATCATGATCTTGAAACATCAAAAATATTTTCTTGTGAAGAGAAAGGAGGACAATGGCAGAAAAGATGAGCCCAAGGCCTCACTTAATAAGTTTTATTTCATACCCATTATAGGATTTGTCTGTCAAAAATGCATTATATGTGGAAGCATTGAAAAATAAGCAACATTGTTCATCTAATCCTACAGCTATTACTTATTAGACTAGTCCCCTGAAATCTTAAGACTTTTATATACACTACTTAAAAGGATTAGTGTAAATTTTGCCATGATTTTTTTTTTTCAAACCAATGACACTCTTGTCCCTGGTACCATGTCTTGGAGACTCTGAGAGTACCCACTTGAATTTTTTTTTTTTAAATGAAATTCCTTGTTTGTATTAATATAAATAAGGACATGTCTCAAGGGACAGAGAAAGCATAAATATTGTATCATTAGTTTCAAAGTATCCCTATCAAACTGCTTCTTTACACAACTGCAGAGGCACAAGAGAGGCACAAATAAAAATATTAATTGCAACAAAAATGTTTGTTTTCTGCTACAATAAGATTTTTACCAACCCACAAGAATGCTAGGTTAGGCAATGTGGCTAAACTAAGACAAGTTCATTGAAAGTAAAAATAACTCTGTAAGCATTGTGCAAAGTGTACCTAACTCAGCCATGAGAGGATTGCAGATTTTGAAAAGGAAGGAAGTCTTCTTCCAGGTGGCTCATAAAAAGGTTGGCATACTGTGGGGCCATTTTAGTGCCCATAGCTGTTCCCACCTGCAAGAAGACTTCCTCAAGAACTGCACCATCAAACCCTTGCTATACTTAAGATACATCGATGACATCTTCATCATTTGGACTGAAAACCTACAATCTCTGATTGAGTTCCATCAGAAATTCAACAATCACCACCTCTCCATCCAACTTTCTCTAGAATACTCCAGCACCAGCATCTCCTTTTTAGACACGATGATCAGTATCCAGAATGATAAAATACAGACCATGTTATACAAGAAACCCACAGACCAACATACATATCTTCACAGAACCAGCAATCACCTTAAACGCACCAGAAAAGCTGTGATATACAGCCAAGCCCTCAGATACCACC